TAGGGAAATCAAAGGTCCAGTCCTTCAAAGATTTATACACGAGTAAAATGAATTACATGTAAATTTGTAGATTTGCAAGGAGGGGTTCTGAAAGTGGAACAATATTCTTTACTGAGTTGAAATTAAGCTAAAATTGTTGGCTATTTGGACAATTCTTGGAAACAATAAAGTGTCTCCCCAGTTTAAAAAAGGTAGTTTCTTTTATTTTGGTCAAAATAGTTCAGTGTGGTTTATGAGTCTTGAGACCAGAAGGTCCATAGTAAACTGTGTTATTTACAGGGATTGGGTTGTGAAATAGCATTCTGGCACGTGTATAAAATATTCATGAGTCAGGTCCCTAAAAGTCATGAGATTGGTATAAAAGTCATGAGGCTGCTATAAAACAAGGTACTTGATAAATTTGGGGGAGTTTTGTTTGCATTCTTGTTTTGAGCTTATCTCCGCAACCAACAAACTGAGAGTTTCATATAACAAATAATAGAGTTGGACCATTTTAGAAAAAATACCAAAAATCATGCATGAGCAACATTACAAGTTGTGCTTAAAAAGAGTTTTTGGCCTGATACAAACGCTGTTGTGTGAATCCTTGCTGGTAAAGATCCATTTGCAGAACTGTAGCCACAGGCAAAGTTTCCATTGATGTCAGTGGGAGTTTGGTTTGGGCTCTCTGTACATCTGGGTATCAAATGCCATTTGCTGCCCTGCTTTTTACTCTTTCGGAGCTTACTTTTTGCTATAGTAAGCTGCTGCCTTATTTTTGAGTATTTTTCACTCACAGGTAATACTTGGCAGGATTATGACTATACTTCTCATTCATGCAGTGGGCTAAACTCCACTAGTTTATTCATGGGCATATTGATAAGTGAGAACATTTGATTTTTATAATAATAATTATAAACAAAAGTATATTTTTCATGAAAAAGAATCCCATTATATGCCTCAAAATACGAGAATGATAAGAACAAGCTATTTTTTTTATCAATAATAAAATTAAATATGGTCAAATGCAAAGTATTGATTTTACAGTAAAAAGTCCTGTGGAAGGACTCACAAAACATTTGAGTGAATTTTATTTACCTAAAAGTTGAAAAAAAAGTGGAAACATATAAGAGCCAATAGTAGCTGTCTCAGTTAAATCTGGTTCCTAGTGAATCAGAAAAAAACTGCTGTTTGAAAACAAGCATGGCTTAGCATACAGACTAACCATAATGTACTCCTGCTATGCCTCTTCAGGCGTGAGAATTTGTGTAAGAAAGGTTTTTTTCTTTTTTTATTGGTGAAGTAGAGCAAAGCAGGTATTCTTTCCACTAGCTCTTTGAGAATTGGAAAAAGGAATTTTCTTGTTCACTGAACTGCAGTTGAAATATCTTAGGGGAAAAAAAAGATTGTCTTGGATTAGGACATTCTTTTTGGCTGTCTGTGGGACACATCAAGTTGCACTCCTCCCGCTCCCAGTTGGCACCTTCATTGATGATTTGGCACAGTCCAGTTATTAAATGGATGTGTAACCTCAACTATTCTCTCCTCCCTAAAGATGACCCTTCCAAGCCTGCACAGCATCAGGTGAGCAGAGGTGGTGCATAAATTTACTTGGCTACTGCTCTACCTATGCACAGTTTGGGATAAAGAGAGAGCTTTAATTTTTAGGATGTCCCTAAAGCACTAACTTTCCCATACTGGAGGATGGGGCAGGTGTGGGCTGGGATAGGCACACAGCCAAGTCATTACACAAAGAGGGAGCATACCCACCACAGGGACTATTGGACTTCTGAAGTTATAGCAGATGTTGTGTAGTGGATCCACTAAAATTCTGCAGTCAGGAGGATTTCTTCCCTTATCACCCAAAATGCAGAACTGAAATCTTACTTCTGTTCACTAATTTTTGTGGGGGGTATCTTGCAGTTAATTAAACCTGAACTCTTGTATCTTGCAAAGTAAAGTATTTAATTTGGCAATTTTGATGAAAGTTTTAGACTTTTTCATACATCATTTGACTATTTTTTTCTTTCCTTTATGATCTTTCCAAAAGCTTTTCTCATTTGGACCTCCAAAACTGGAAGCCAAGAGAGAGTTAAGTCAAAGGCCTGTGTTCTACAACTCACAGGAGACAGGAAATTGAAACAGAAAAGAGAGAAAAATCTCTTTCTAACAAGAAGAGAGTAGATTCACATTTATAGGAACTCTTCTAGTCTGAAACATATAAAACAGCGTTTCTCAACCTGTAGTACATGCACCCCTAGGGGTAAGCAAGACACGGGCAGGGGGTATGTGGGTGCTGAGTTTTGAGTTTGCCCTGCCCTGTGTTCCCCCCCCCCCCCCGCCCGCCCAGCAGGTTAGAGGCGTCTTTGCCTGTTCGGGCTGGAAGTTCCAGCTACCGCCCCTCCCACCATGTCAGGTGCTTGGGGGCTTTCACTCCCCAGGTCAGTATGCTAGGGGGCAGGAAGTGGGGCCCTACGCAGGCTGCTTTGCCTCAGGCCATGATCCGTGAGGAAAAAGTGGGACTCGGCTCATGGCAGCAAAACTGGAAGTGCCAAGATGGGACTTCCGGTTTTGCTTTGTTGTGTCGATCG